TTTATCAGTCAACAGTAAATGATATTTCTATACAGTAAGATTATTAAATTATTATAGTTAGGTATTCAATATTTGGCTTTCAACAAATAACGGATTATTTTATAAAGCACAAAGCATGAATTCAACATTTATTATTTAATACTTAAAACGCATCCGCTAACTGGTAAATCCATTTACCATAAAGATTCATAACAAAGACACTAAATAAACTAAATGAATAATTTCTTTTAATGATTGAAGTCAATCAGTACTCGAGGTCATCACCATCAAGGTCAACACTCACCGTTTGATGATAAATGATAATGATCCTCCTAAATATGGAAACCCTAAAAGGGCTTATTCCATCTTGTTTCTCTTTTTTAATTAGAATTGATTTTTATTTCAAAAAAGCTAACAGGATATTGTTTAGAATTAGTCCATGAATGTATAAATATTTGGAATTACATATCTCTTGACTATACTGGCATAATGTGTTGAATAAAGTATCGTTATCATCTGGCAAGACATATCGGTTTCAGTTGTCAATCGAAAATCGTTTTTAAGTTCCAGTGAATTAACTTTTTGATGTTACGTAATAATGAAAGAAATTTTGCCTGGAGCACATCTTGGGCTACTGCCGGTCCCAAGCCCGGATAAACGAGGAGGGTTGAGCATGGAGTTAGCGACCCCATCTCGTGAAAAACTAACTCGCTAAAAAACGCAAACCAGAAAAAAATTCAAATAATTTAAACTCTGCCCTGGGAGTCAGAAGGTCTTTATTTAGAAGAGTTATGACACCTCGTGGTGAAAGCCGAGTTCCTTCGGAAGTCACGAGGCCGATAGCCCTTCTAACAACCTGAACCATTAATTTTGTTACATGGAATACTTGCACAATGTTGGGAGACCAGGAGAGTTTTCCGAATCGCTGCAGAATAATGAAAGAGATCATTAAATGTAATAGAGAATCATACATCAATGTTTTGGTTAATGAAACGTATTACTTAATAGACTGTATTTTTGTTTACACTAGTTAAATGATTACCTATAAATAAATCGCTAATCAGAGCAAACTGATTTATTAAATTTTCAAAGAACTTAGTAATACTATTATATACTAAGGTTAAATAGTAGTTTGCAACCTTCATACAGAAACATTTATAACAATGTTAACTTACAAGTACCACTTACCAGGATATAGAAGTCTTTCAAAACTTATCCAGTTGACTGACGGATTAAGAAACAACATAACAGGAAACTCTTCTTCATTAATTATTTAATGACCAAGTGACCTATTTTCTTAGAACTGTCTTTTTTATAATCATATTTTCTCTCATAGAAAGAAATTAACATCAATCTCTATTAACGAAAAAATCAAACTGAAAACTACTACTTATATATATATATATATATATATATATATATATATATATATATATATATATATATATATATATATATATAAGATGGCTCTAGGAGTTTTCGCTTCTAGTGTGCAAGGTTATGTATCCTGATAGTTTTCGACGAAGAATCAAATTTCAGTGTTTAATAACGTACATCAATTAAACGTGTAAACTATGGATTATTTAAATGATCTTTAGATAACATTATTCGATTGAGAAATATTTATATTGATAATGATAAATGGTGATTTTGTGGGGAAAAAATTATTTCTTCTGTTAATCCTTAATTTTATTGGATATCTCAATGGGAGTCATAATCATCCGATGCTGATTATGAGTTAGCTTGCGAGTTGATCATTGGGAAAAAATTACATCTAAGTATAGTATTCCAGAATGAAATGACTATTCTGGATTTCATTGTTAGTCACAAATTCACTATACCATATTCTGAAAATAACAAATACAAAATTCACTCTAGTTTACAGGCATGATCAATTTGATATAAATAGTAACATTAGATGTACAGAACAAACATGTTATATATAAGATAATTTTAAGTATACTAGTTCAGTAATTGTTTAGGTAGTACATGTATGATAGCAATCCAATTCATCAGCCGGAAACTTTTAATTTTTCTTAAGTGGACAGGCTGTTGATATATGAACGGTGTAATTAAGGTCATTTCTTGTGTCAGATCGAATTAATGATAATTATCTACAACTAGAGGAAGTAAAATGAAAACAAAGAGCACGGAACAACAAGGTAATAATTACCAAAATATGTCAATCAAGTCTACTAAAATGCATGTGTCATGTGACACAGTGATATACTGTTAATGTCAGATATTATTCAAATTAGTTAAGGTTGCTAGGGTCAGTGTTAACGTAAAGTGACAGCTGGAAGGTGGTTTTACTTAGGGAATTCACTAATAATAATGACTAAACATATAAAGTTCCTATAATCTCGCTTGTGGATTAATATAAACTTACAGGTGCAAGAACATTTAATGCATGTTCAGAGGAGCAGTATGCATCAATGCAGCCAACAAATGTTGGGAGTGATTTTATCGTACGGATAGATTCCTGGGTTTAAAAAATTTACACGTAAAGTAATTTGTATAGAGAGATTATTTAGAATGAGTTTGTTTCACTAGTGACAAGGAGTTACGGATAACGTAGTGAGAAGTTTCTGCATATTGAATTACTTGACAGGATGTAAAGGATAGTTTATTAAGTGTTTTGAAGAAAAAGATAATATTTAGTTTGAGTCTCCTCTTCCATAAAGGGTCGAACCCAAGTTTGTTACATCTAGAATTATAAGTTAAGGTACAATCAGTTCCAAGAATACGAAGTGTAATCGTCTCTGTGTGGATTCTAGCCTTAATTCATCATTTAGCCTCTCACTACTAAGAATGATCGTACAGTATTCTAGGAGTGGTCGAACGCGAACCTTGTACATTGAAATACTTGACTCACTGTTATAAAGGTTTCGAGTTATATAACCTATAAGACGTTGAGACTTGGAAATCTGTTTCAATATCTGTTTTGTAAACGACAAATCGTAGGAGTACCTAAGTTCTAATGTAGTGAACAAGAACATGAGCAAGGACAACCGAATGCATGTGACATGAAATTACAGAGCATCTCAATAAAATGTGAGAACCATATAGTAAATAGTTAATTTGCAAAATATCAATCCATCGCCTCAAACTTGATTGTTCCTTTCACAAATATGAGTCCATTGTCTCAGATTTAATTGTTCATGCATTTTCATACCAATTGTTTTCCGTTCCCGTTCTTTCCTTATCGATCTTCTACTGAAATATATTCTATGCCTGACCACCGATATATATATATATATATATATATATATATATATATATATATATATCGTTATATGTGTATATAAGTAACCTACACCACACTAAGTCTACTACTGTATGTAGCCTAGATAACATTTCACCATTTATAGTAAGATTTAAGTTGAGCAATATATCATCTAAGCATATGCATTCATATTTAGCTATATTATTCTCCAGCTATCATTTAAAACTTGTTATTCAATTACTATTTCGAAACAGGAAGTTTTTGTTTGTTACTAAATGAATAACAAGTAATTTTTCATGATATATATTGGTACTAGTGTATTTCTACCTAAGATAACCTACCAAAAAATGTATTGTTGCTTATCAAAATTTATTTAAATATTCGATTATGTTCGATAAGAAACAATTTTTTTTGGCATGTACTTTTAAATTGAATAAATGGTTACAATCACAATATCTATCTTGTTCTCTGTAGTATACTTTCAGAGTAAAATGGACATTACTTTTCTATCCTCAATCACTCACTAACAAGAATTGAATAACAGGGGGGAATGGATGATTTTGATTATTTTTTTGTTTTTGAAAATCCTATGATTGATTGAATAATTAATTTTCATGTTAACAAAATGATTCTTCAGAATGATAATGTATTTCTTTAAAAAATGATTTCAAATTTGTCTTTTATTAATTTTCTATTACAGCTATCATCAAAAAGATCCTCATATATAACACAGAGAACACCAACTCAATTATACTTGATGAAGAAACTCTGAAAGAAGTGGAAAATTTCAAGTACCTGGAAAGCATCATCTATAAACGAGGAGGATCTGACGAAGTTGTAAAGAAGAGGATTGGCAAAACAAGGGGAGCACTCTTACAGTTGAACAATTGTCTGTCAATTAATTTCAAATTAACAATCTTCAATACGAACGTCAAGATAGTTCTACTATACGAAACTAAAACCTGGAGAACTACTACAACCATCGTCAAAATGATACAAGTATTTATAAACAATTGTCTACGCAAGATACTCAATGTCCGTTGGATGGATATCATAAGCAACAGTCTACTGTGGGAGAGAACAAACCAGCTTCCAATTGAAGAGGTAATAAGGAAAAGATTATGGAAATGGATAGGACACAAATTGAAGAAATCATCAAAATGCATCACAAGGCAAGCCCTGAAGGAAAACTGTAAAGAGGAAGGCCGGAGAACACTCTGTGTTGAAAACTGGGAAGGAAGCAACTGGACAGGGTTGGATGGAGAGTGCTGGTGGGTGGCCAATGTTCCCCCACGAGGAATAACAGGCATAAGTGAATAAGTTGACTTCTCAAAACGCACTATCAACACCCTCATACTGAAGATATTTTTGTATGTAAATGGCATAGTAGTTCTCAAAACTGTCGATCATAATATATTAAAATAAGAATATGCTCAATAGACAACAGAATGATTCGGATCATTATATATTTCTGAAATTTAATATAAATAGTAGATTTTTCCCCAATTCAGATGATTTTCAAGAATGATTTCCTTATAAACAGAGAGGGGTTTTGTGCATATTATAGTAATTTTAATAGTTGAAATCATGAATCAATTGAAGCTAGATCACCATGAAAAACTTGAAACCACTGGATGGCCGTTTTGTTCTAGTATGGGACTCCTCAGTAGTGAGCATCCACAATTCCGCCTCTCGAGTTTCCAACTAAGGAACTATCAGTCTCGTGCGCGAACTCATCCAACGGTGTTAATGTCTAACTTTAACCAACCCACGAAATTAACTATTAACTATATGATATTTTTCTAAAACTAATCTCATTATCAACATTAGAGATCACAGTTTAGACAATGTTTTTTTCTTTTTAACATTATTAAAAATTACCATATTAATGATAAACTGTCAAACTCCATTTCAAAACTTAATCATTATTGGAATTACTTCATTATTTATAGGGAAAAAAGATCTGTGAAATTTCTTAATAAACAATCCTTTTTCTTGTTGTATTTTTTTAGAAATTCTCGTAATTTCTGTTTTACTGAAACTAACACTGATATTTATTAATACATATTTACGTGGAAAAAGTTTTTCAAAAAAAAACAAACAAAAAAACAAAAAAATAGTTGAAATGAGTCAATTGAAGCTAGACCACCATGCAAAACCTAGAAGCACTGTACGGCCGCTTCGTCCTAGTATGGGACTCCATGGTGGTCTAGCTTCGACTGACCTACGATTTCAACTATTGAAATTACTAAAATCTCCACAAAACCCCTTCTGAAAACAAAAAAAAAACAAACGGCTACAAATAAACAAAATCGATTTTTGTTGTTTGAATTAACAACAAATAATAACCGTTACAACTAAATAAAATCAACATTGAATGACATAATTCGAACTAATATTCCATTGAATATAATTGTAAAATTATCAGAAGAACAAAAACAAAAACAAAACTTGAACCCAGTGTAATAAGAGAAATCACTAGTTAACACATGTATACAAACATGTAAATATATATATCAGTGTTTATCTGCATGGATCTGAGTAACATTTAATATGGATAGAAACATTTGGTTTGCATCTATTCTTTTGGTAACCAAAAAAGGAGAAAAAAATGAAACAAACTTTGTATTAGTGATTATTTTGCACTTTTAAGTGACATGAATTGGATTGTTTAAATAATATCAAGTAGGTTGTTATAGTTACAAGATTTGTATTTTCTCTGTACTGAAAAGTCATGTATTTGTGCATTTTGTTGTTGCGGAAGGTGGCAGTGTTGTTGTTAAAATTCTACAATCATTCTTTATTAAAACTGAAACGTTTTGAGCTGTATTAAATGAAAAGTAGAACTTTGATTATTTTTGTGTAGATGTGTTATTGATCCGTGAACCTGTCAATGTTAAAATAAACAATTTATTTAAAGATTGTATAAAACTATAATTTTAAGAAAAATGTAAATTCTATATATTTTTGAAAAATATATCATTTCAGTTTATTATCTTAGTTATCAGTATAGGGTTGTGGAGATTATTAAGATTTTGATTGAGATCATGAACTGAATGAAATTAGACCACCGTTGAAAATCTGGAAGAATTGGACAGCCGTTTCGTCCTATTGTGGGACTTCTTAGTAAAGTACATCCAGGTTCCTGCACACGGCATTCGAACTCAGGGTCTTCAGTCTCTCGCATGAACGCTTAACCTCTAGACCACTGAGCTGATCGGAATCCAACTATGTTAGTGTCTAACCTCAACCAATCCGTGAAATCGCTCAACTATCTTCCATTGTACTGAGGTACTTGGAATAGCTGAACTGGTCACGGCTGCTCACTAGAACTCCGAGAATTCTTTCGCAAAGCTAGCCACTAGTGAGTCCAGACACTAACATCTAAACACTATCATCACTGATAATGATAATTAATGATTCAAGTCCGTATTGTACAATTAGCAGTGATCCTTTTAAGTTTATAGATATTCCTTGTTTACAAGTACCAACCTGTATGAAACCCAAATATGAGATTTTTTACAAACTATCCGAAATCACCATTCATGCCTTTTATAACCATTATCTTAATTTTATCATCCATTTATATTGCATTTTATCAGAAATAATGGAAAACCTGATTGTTATCACTTTCTCTGTTTCATGTACTAAGTGATCACTTGTCGAAGATGGAACTTAGGACTGTCAGTTAAATGTGTTAGTTTATTTAACTTTTCAAGTATTGTCAATAGTACCGAAATGCAAACGCATAACGGATGGACACGCTTTAATCTCAAACATTTAGTCGGTTTTTTCTAGTTTACATTAGTTAGTAATGAATAATAACCATTAAGTGTTTTCTACCTATATTTTTCTGCATTACATATAAATATATAAATATTTCATGACACCTTTTCCATTTATACAGTTACACGTCTACGAGCAAGCAAGGGTGAAGCCCTATGAATAGTTGGATTCGCCCATTCATATGGAGACCATCATAGGTCTATCTATCCCTCATTTTTTGTTTAAGTACTGGTTTAGTTGAGAGGAACATATGCAACATGGCGTAGTAAAATGTCCTTCAATAAATCTTTCAAGTAGATGTGTTAGAATGTTGCAGATTATATCTTCTCTAAGATCGAATTTCAGATAAAGTTTTCTTGCTGAAAGTGTCACAGTTTATTCAAGTTTCTATATTCTAATAAACATTTTTTGACGAATTTTTCATGATAACCGTCTTGTTATAGTATATTCTATTTCAACTACACTATCTTCTGCTATGTTTGAAGAGATTACGAATTCGACTAATCTGAGAACGGAACGAAGACTCTGTGACACAATGACAGATATGCTAGCTATTCCGACGCGTCCCAGCCCGATTAACCAGAGAGTGAAGTTCAAGTTCAGGAGAGGGGTTATTATATTCCACAAGCAGCCAGAAGCACGAAAAAGGGTATATAAACAACATAAGAATGTCCTTGGGAAGCGTTACAAAATAGCATATTAAGTTATACAACGAACTAATAGCATTTAAGATCCTCTCAAGCGGGAAATACAACTTGAAGGCAAAAATGAGCACTTTTGGCGCGAAACCAATAAATTCAAATTCTTAAAATAGAATTACAAAATAAGATATTTACTAAGTGACTTTTTTTAATCTAACATTCCCAACATCTTCAAAGAAGAATAGTCTAATTTTATGACTAAAACTTTTAATCAGATGATTTACATGAGTTCAGTTATTTCAGGTAACATATTTATTTTAAAAAATGTGATCATTTGAATAGACAAGTTCTTTTATAATCATTTCATACCCATATGGAGAAAAGAAAAAGTTGTTGAGTCTTACATAACTAATTTAAAAACTAATACCATGCGATGCAATCATAATATTGTTATTCTTGTGTAGTTAGGTTAAAATCAATTTAAATGTATCATGGTAACTATACATTATACATTACTGATGGTAACTTGTTGATCTTTTTTGTTTTACTATTTCATCTGTTTCTATGTTATTAAAACACAAATGTACCGAAGGGGATATTCACCTACATATATGTTCTTTGTCAGACGGCTAGTTTGTTTCAACATATGGTATTATTTATCTTCTTTTTTTTCGTTGAATTATTCACGATAATACTTTTCGTTTTTGTTCTTCTTATGGATTATGACAAGTTTATCAAAGATAAGAATATCTAATAACATGCTTTTTTTTAATTTATAGAATTGATAAATAAAGCTTCAGTTAGATATGAGTTATGACAGGATTCGAACGTAAAACAACATGAACTCTAGTTATTAGGTTACAAGATTATTCATAGTAAACTTTGGATAAATTTGCAGCTTAGAACTTGGTATACATAGACCATGTAAAAAATAATATAATTCAAATAAATTCAGTAGTTTTGCATGGTATTCGATAATTTTTCAATCTTTAGACTTTACTGTTGGTTATTATATTAAGCCCATAAACCTTATTCTGGGTTTCGGACAGGCCAATCTATTCATTGTAATTGATTCACATTTTTATCTTGTTAATTATTCGCTTATCAATCGTGACTGTTTTTATATGATCGCATATGTGTATGCCTTTCTTATCCCATTATTCATCACATGTTTGTAGCTTAATTTTGTGTGACTATAAAAATTGATTAGCGCTTGACTAAATGGTATTGGCTTGCATGGCTTCTTCGCTGCGCGTTATTTCGCTTCGCTCTCTTCATTCATTCATTCTCGTATTTGACTTATTTAATTCCGTTATTGACCAACGCGATTTAAGTCGATGATTATATACGAGGATAGGCGACATATATGTATCTCGATAGCAATCATTCAATAACGAACATTCATAAGATCTAGTTGGAGTCAGATCCCGGGTCACTGAAAGACACTTTTAGTTCCTTGGACAATATCAATTTGTCAACAAAATCTTATTTATGTGAAAAGGAATCAGTATGTTTGTGTCTGTTGTCATGACAACAGTACATTTATAAAGGTCTTTTTCTTTCTGACATATTAACGAGATAAAGTTCTGAGATAATTTCTTAAGAGTATTGTATATGGAATTTTTGAGAAAGTTTTTTTCGACTAAAATACCCTATTGTTCAGTATGTTAAATAATAAACTCATTTGATTAGAAATTGAATTCTAAATAAAGGGGAAAAAAATCCCCAATAAAAGAGATAAAGAGTAAGTGTCATTTTCCTTTCATACAATCTCATTGTTATCAGCTTAAACTGTCAATAACTTTTTTTCAACAAAACTCTATACCAAATAAATGCGCATTGACATTTTGCAAGTTTGATACTGTAAGAAAATGTAAACGTCTCATTCTTGATTGTGAAAAACTAGGAGATTTTTGAAAATGAGTCAATGCTTTTTACTGTCAAAATCAGTGAATAGATTGCTAATTGATAAGTGAAGTCAGTAATAGGATGTACCTGAGCAATAGCTAATCACGATCTTATAATGTAGTGAACAAGAACATGAGCAAGGACAACCGAATGCATGTGACACGAAATTACAGAGCATCTCAATAAAATGTGAGAACCATATAGTAAAAAGTTAATTTGCAAAATATCAATCCATCGCCTCAAACTTGATTGTTCCTTTCACAAATATGAGTCCATTGTCTCAGATTTAATTGTTCATGCATTTTCATACCAATTGTTTTCCGTTCCCGTTCTTTCCTTATCGATCTTCTACTGAAATATATTCTGTGCCTGACCATCTTTGTATACTACTTATATGGATGTAAGTAACCCATACCACAATATTACCGGCTTAAGCCTTCAAAAGACTAGAAACTGAAGATAACGCCACTGGCACGATCAATAGATTTTCTGTGTATTAGGATATTATGTTGATTTTATGTCTCGATAAGAATAATGAATAGTAATTTTGGGATCCATGATGTGTGGGAGAGAATGATAATAATTGGTTTGTCTGCTTAGTCAGACATGGAGATAGTCTGACAGGTGTCAGATGACTTATATATTCCCCTATCCTTATTGTTATTATTACTCACTTATTATTGATTGTTCATTGTTGATGGATTGGGTCGGGATTTTGGTGTGGAAATATATTTACATTACAGTCAGGCTAATTACATGTTCTTGATCTGAGTTGTGTTGACGTCCTGTAGAATAGACACTGGAAGGGAATCTAGTGTAGATATTCGTCTAAGGTAAATTAATGTCCCATACGTGTAAACGTGTAAACCCAACCGTTATAACATTAAACATAGTAAAACCGAGCGTTATAAGTCAAGAACACCAATCTCAGCTTCTGCAATATGAATCATTTATTTCAAGCATTCTGGGTTTATTTACCTACCAGACAGACCACATCGTACCATAAAATAGGAAACAACATTTGTACAAATGTGGCTGTGAATCTAGGAGGTAATATTTAATAGACAGGGCATAATTCAAGAATGGTAAATCGTATAATAATAGTTCATAGGTCAAACTAAGGCTCATAAGAAGAAGAACATGAATATGAATAGTGTAGTTATTTAACAATTATACGATAAAAATATACGCACAGGCGCAAAGCAGGACCAATAAAGACACTAGAGTGCTCATACGTGTTTTATGCATCATTGGTCCGATCGATAATTCACTGCTCTCTAATTGGCGGTAGCATTACGTATATATTAACAGAGCACACAGGCCATAAGTTATAACAGTTTATACACAAAATATAATCACAAAATAAACATAGATGATTAGGGGAAATTAGCTCATAAGTCACTCATTATTTAATCAACTGCAACTTAAATATTTGTGTTCCGTTTCAAATATCATGTTAGGAATATAACATTCTTATGAACAATGATTCACCTGAAAACATACATTTACTTCTGCTGAATTCAAAGGATATTAATTATATAAATATAGATGAGAATATCTATCCATCAATATTAACAGAAACTTACATTACTTTGATCCGTATTCTGTTTTGTTGTAATAACTTGATCAATTCTTCTCTGGAACATACTATAATATAATCAATACATAATAAATGAAATAAATAAATAGTTGATATTGATCTACAAATTGATGATAAAGTTGATTCGAAAGATTATTCTTTTGAATAAGAAACCTAATACAAAGTTAAACAACTGCAAAAAAGTAAAAAGTTTCACAAACTTTCTACAATCATGCTAACTATGTCAATTATCAGAAGGGGTTTCGTGGAGATTTTAGTGATTTCAATAGTTAAAATCATGAGTCAATTTAGGCTAGACCACTATGGAAAACCTTGAAGCACTGGACGGCCGTTTCGTCCTAGTATGGGACTGATAAGTCCTAGGTTCGAATCTCGCATGTGGCGGGATCGTGGATTCGCACTACTGAAGAGTCCCATACTAGGACGAAACGGCCATCCAGTGCTTCCAGGTTTTCCATGGTGGTCTAGCTTCAATTGACTCATGATTTCAACTATTGAAATTATGTCAGTTGTTATGGACTTTGTAGCGGAAGACTATAAGTCAAATATTATCCATACACAATGCATTTTATTTCTGCCTATAATCAAAGATGCATTTCTGCTCGATTATCATCGTTTACTTTTATGTTTATGTTTTTAAAACAAATCATTCCTTGAAACCAATATTGTTCTATTTTGTTTATAATCATAATAAATTGTACTAATTTAACGGCATAAAATGATTATTGATTTAAATCTAAAGACAATACAAATTACAGTCATTTGTTTAATTTGGAAATCAAGACAAAGAAAAAATTTCTTTCTGTCATGATTTTCATTGTTCTTTGTGCCTTCATCAAACTTTGATGACCCTATCTGTCATTCGTTTTTTTTTCTTAAATGAAATGTAAAAGAGTATTGAAAGATAAACCATTGGGAATTATCAAGTCTTGAAAGGAAGTATCAACTAAATATATATATATATATATCCTTTATTTCAATTCATGATACAATCATGATAAGAATGGAAACAATCGTATTGTTCATATACATTGATATAATGGAAGAATTGATCTTATTTCATAGGGCACATAAAGAAAAAAATGTTCATTAGTTGATTGCTGAAACAAATATTTAAAGTCATCATGAATTGATAAATTCATATGACCGAATATTTACTCAAAATGTTAAACCATCTAAATGAAACAGGGTCTATAATAAGTATCGCTTAAATTAAAAGTAAATTAATAGTGTTTAAAGATTTAGATATCAACAACAGTTAGTTGAATGGGAAAACTTCTCATCTATTTATTAAACTGTAATACGTAGTACCTATTGACTTATAGAAAGAAATACCGGCTAATATGGTTTATTTATTCCATTATGTTCAATGTATTTTGACAATTATGTATTAACCTCATGACCAAATGTTTTAGATTCAATCCTAGGTGGGGTATTGTGTATGGGCTACTGAGTGGTTTCATACCGGAACGAAACAGTTTCAGTTGGTTAACGATAAAGTATAACATGACAAGAATGTAGAACAACCAGTTGACGAATTTGTATCCAATCAATAACGATAGAAATACAATGGTGAAATTGTACGATATAAAATTAAAGTTCACTTGGTATTGTTTACTTGAATATTCCCATTGATGTCTCTTGTTGGCAATATGTGTATACTGTGCGTATTGCCTTAATTCACAAGTATTATAAGCAAAGATGGATTGTGGCTAACAGCGGAATCCATTGCACAATCAAGTGACTATCAGGACTCAGTAGCTAAGTGGATGACGCGATGGTTCTAGGTTCGAGTCCCAGAGTAAAAATCAACTTAGAGGTGCAAGTGCATCTAGCTAACGAGTCCCAGATATGACAAAACGCGCGTCCTGGATTCCACTGCTAGCCACTATCCATCTTGACTTATAATACTAAATGTTCAATTCCCATTTTTGTTAGGCATAGTTATCCATATAAATAGTACAGATTTATTTTACATCAAACTGAATTCTTTAATATACTTAACTTTTATTTAGGATAAACCTTAATCCAATAGTTATCACAATATGCTTCCAGCTACAAAATACAACTAGGTATGTACTTCATAGTATTCAATAAAATGTAAACTCTGGCAAACTGACAAAATTTAATCGAACAATAAAGTGATATACTGTACAAAAAGACACTACTTGATGTAACGAAATTTAAGTAAACATAGTTCATATTGTAAGTAAGAGAATTTTTCATGGCCAGACATTTCGCCGGTGGCAGTCAGTTAAAGTTTGTTAAAGTTGTCTATTATGAATGATTGTGCTTTTTCTTCAACAATGTTCAACATTCAAATAGTACTATTTAGACGTATTGTTTATTTTCCCGTATTTATTAGTTTACTCTTCTTAATAAAATCAAGTATCATTGGTATCAATAACTTGGAAGTAGTTGATGGCAGTTTGCTTGAGTATCTAGGCTACCTATCCCTAGATATTTCAACGAATTATTTTTTTCATTTGTTTTAACAAATCATTACGTGAGTTTATTAAACGTTTATGACCTTTCTCTGTACAATTTGCAAAAGAAAGCCAAAACAGAGACATCGTGGTAGCTCATAGTATACATCGAAAAGAATTTACATCATTCAGATATTGATTCCTGAGCTGCTAACATCTAACTGGCGACCACTAAATGTTTATCGTCGGGATCGATCATGAATTAAGAAATGAAAACTCGTTGAGTTACTTTGTGCTGAGAATTCTAAATTTTACCAAAAACTATAATATTGAATAAAGCTAATAATAACATCCTTATTCATCCTATAAGTACAATGATGAATCCTTATGCAAATAGTTATAAATGATAATTACTCGCATTGATAAGTACATGAAACAGTCGGATCAATTTGTTTAATCAAATCATTGTTGTAGCTTGTAACAGAGTTAACTTAAGAGATATTGTAGTTCATTAGGTTTATTGAAGACAAACATTTATGACAAAATGGCAATAATCACAGATTTTATATAACATGGTAATATGTAATGTACAATACCGAAAGATAATATGAATTTGAAGATCGATGAACTACATTCAGTGTAGTAAATAATAGAATAATAATTTTTAATTATTTTCTAATATATAATGTCATTAGTTCTGTTTCTAAACATAGGAAACAGCTGAGCTCACCCAAAACTCTATCTGAATAATAGAACCTAAGAGCTTCAAATGTCATGTTGAAAATCTTGTATTTCGGTCAATGAGTTAAAATTCAGTGGTTCTTAATTTGAAATGTAGATCAATCACTACATACTGTAACGTTGTTTATAGGACTAATGATAATCTACTTTCTCTGGAAACAAACTGATTCCATAAATTATGACTTCTTACTAGAACTTCAGATACTTTCCTGAAAGCAAATCACCAGCGTGAATATATAAAAGAGTTTTCTGATTCAGTTAAACACTGGAAGATATTTTTCATACGCAACATCACCTGAGGAAACATTTTCGTCTGTTCTTCTTAAAAGTGCATTTAATCGTAAGTGTATTTTTTCAAAATGTTCTATGTATAATTGAGGTATATAGTCAAAAGATATTTCCCATATATAATGGAAAAGTAAATTTTACGTTAAACAATAGTCTGAAATTATGGTCATTTTTTTGAAAAATCTGATAAATCTATATACACGATGTATTTCGAATGTAAGATCTTTATATTTTTGAGTAGTAAACCATTTGACCAATAAATTACTTAGCTCCTACTTACTTACTCCTGTTACCCCTCGTGGAGGAGCATAGGTCACTCACCAGCATTCTTCATCTAACTGTATCCTGGCCAATTCTTTACAGTTCTTTTCAATTGCTATTCATCCTTTTCATGTCTACTTCCAATTCTCGACAAAGAGTGCTCTTCGCCCTTCCTCTTCACAGTTTCCCTTCACGATTCCAAGTTAAGGCTTACATCGTGATGCAATTTGATGATTTCCTCAATGTGTATCCTATCCACTTCCAACGTCTTTTTCTGATTATTTCCTCATCTGGAAGCTGGCTTGTTCTCTCCCACAATGGGCTGTTGTTGATGGTATCCGTAGGTAACTGTTTATAAATACTTGTATGTTTTTGAAGATTATTGTGGTAGTTCTCCACGTTTCAGCTCCGTAGTTCACGTTTCTCATATTTAGTTACGGGTATTTTGACTGTACAATGTAATTCTTAATGATCAGAAGAGCGTGTTAGAATTAGCTTTGTTAAATACGTTTTAAATTGTAGAAGTTCAAAATTAGTGTGTTTTATTTTGATACAACTGTAACATTCTCATTTGTTGTTTAAATGTTACATACGATATCCATAACATGAGTAGTTACGATTTATCATTTGTTTTATTTATTTGAACACATATATATTGGTACAAAAGGGCACCAGATATATATGCGCCACACAAATCTCATTTGATTTGTGTGAGGGCTGTGATACTGCTCGGGTTCCCAAACCGAAGCAGGTGGTTTTCTTAGAGGGCCACGCCCGAAGCCTTCGACCTAAAAATCTGATCCACAAGGCAGTGGAGCATCGTAAAGAGATACAGTCCGTAGTAGCCGGTGACCAGCGATTGGTTTATACGCCACTTGTTTCTTCAGGATCCTGGAGTCCATGTGTGTTTTCTAACTCCCCTAGGTGAGTCTTCCATATCCACCAACCCAGTTAAAGTGCCGGACATTCGCTTTGCATCGTCCTCTCAATTTCGTAAACAACACCCCCTTCATGGGAAGGCAATGAGTAGGACTTCCCTGGCAGAGGCTATATACACGTGGTCATGTGTGAGCATTTCGAGAGGGAGAACACATCCTCAAGCATGAATGTGGCTCACCATTTTATTTGTAAATACTTAATCAATATTGATAGGGTTACGTTATCAGATGTGTATTTCCAGTTTACCCTAAATGTTAGATTTAGGCCTTAACTATTCTTAAGAGCAATCCAATGAATCTAACACTTCTCCTAATATGATTATAAGTTGTCTTTCTCACTTGTTTATCTATTTTTGAATAGTGAGAAAACTTATTTTCATATTTCTCATATTT